AAGGTTAAAGTTTTCCAAAAGTAGGTCAAACTCCAAGGTTAAGGTTAATGAATTACAATTGTTGGTATCCAAAGGAAGGTCTTGTCACAAGGTTAAATATGTGAAGTATGAAAGCCCTACCACCAACTGTTCAAAAGTTATGGCCAAGGTTAAAGTTTTCCAAAAGTAGGTCAGACTCCAAGGTCTAGGTCAAAAGGATCAAAGTTATTGGTACCCAAACAAAGGTCTTTTCACAAGGTTTACATATGTGAAGTATGAAAACCCTAGCACCAATTGTTCAAAAGCTATGGCCAAAGGTTAAAGTTTTCCAAAAGTAGGTCAAACTCCAAGGTCAAGGTCAATGGTTACAATGATTAGTATCCGAACGAAGGTCTTGTCACAAGGTTTACATATGTGAAGAATGAAAGCCCTACTACCAACTGTTCAAAAGTTATGGCCAAGGTTAAAGTTTTCCAAAAGTAGGTCAAACTCCAAGGTCAAGTTCAATGGATTACAATTGTTTTTAACCAAAGGAAGGTCTTGTCACAAGGTTTACATACGTGAACTATGAAAGCCCTAGCACCAACCGTTCAAAAGTTATGGCCAAGGTTAAAGTTTTACAGAGGTAGGTCAAACTCCAAGGTCAAGGTCAAAGGTTCAAAGTTGTTGGTATCCAAAAAAAAAAAAAAGGTTTTGTCACAAGGATTGAATATGTAAAGTATGAAAGCCCTAGCACCAACCGTTCAGAAGTTATGGCCAATGTTAATGTTAATGTTCGGTAAAATTTTGCAAAACTGGGTCAAACTCCAAGGTCAAGATCAAATATGGTGGTACCCAAAGAAAGGCCTTGTCACAAGGAATACACATGTGAAATATGAAAGCTCCAACCAATCAAAAGTTATGACCAAAGTTAAAGTTTTTGCGGACAAACAGACAGACAGCTAGACGGACAGGGCAAAAACTATATACCCCCGAATCTTCGATACGGAGGCATAAAAATGTTATTGCCTAGAGAAGAAAATGAAACAGAAACGTGTTTCACCGTTAAATTGTAGACTGAAAGAGTAAAGTCATGGAAAAATGAATCAGAATCTCCTCAGTAAAATCGCGGAAGTAAGATTGATCATGATACTGTTACAGAAATAATGCTTAAGATGACCTCACCTAAAACATATATGCTAGATTTTTCTGTTTTGTCGAAAAAAAGGAAAACTTTTGACCTCGACCTTGATGATGTCCTAAAAACAAATAAAGACATATCGGAGGCCTGTTCAACAGAGGGAGCGCTCGCGAACATTTCTGTTGGAGGGATAAGGAATTTTGGCGAGCGCTCGCGAACGTTTGCTCTGTTGAACAGGCCTCCGGTGTAAAGTTTAACAACAAATAAGAAAGCCGAAAACATGTACTAATATACATGTACATGTACTAGTATTCTGATATAGTTCAAGATTGACCTTTGATAAACAACCTTTAGTTGTTTGTGCTCCTTTAGTAGCCGACTTGGTTTTTTTTTTATATTATTACTATAAAGCAGACTTTGTTGAAAAACTTCTACATGCTGTGGCCATCAACTCGACATTCAAATATATCGAAGACGTTTTATCAATTAACAACAGTTACTTTCATTCATATGTCGACTCGATATATATCCCAGTGAACTTGAAATAAAAGACACCGCAGAGTCTGCCATATCTGTTTCATACTTGCATGTTTTACTGACTATAGACGATATGGGCAAACTAACAACTAAAATGTTTCACAAACGTGACTTCAGCTTTCCTTCTTATGTAGTAATGTTCCGGTATCACCTGCATATGACGTTTATGTCTTCCAGTTCATTCGATACTCAAGAGCTTGCTCTGAACATGATCTGTTTTAAGCCGAGGCAAACTACTGACAGATAAGTTGATGTTACAAGGATTTCAATAACCTCGTTTAAAAATCTGCATTTCGTAAATTGTATGGTCGTTATAATGACATTGTTAACAAATATAACCTATCATTGTTTCGTACTTTGGCTGACGTGTTTCATACCAATTGTTAGGCCTTTGTTTTATTCTAAATTTGCGCAGCACAGTTAAGGCTACAATAAGGAGGTGGGGCCTAATTTTTACGGGAAATGCTTACCATGACATCACACAAAAATACATGTTCTTCAAATTACCAAAAAATGAAGTGATACGCCATTTTAAACTGTTGGATAGCTTTAAATTACATCAATACTTACTATTGCATGTATTTTTGTCGTTGGTTAAATCCCACACAGCAATATATAAACAATTCACTGATCGCAATGCGACGTCATATCGTAAAATTTGACGCAGTTTGTATGCAGTGAGAGGCGGATCAAGTAATATTTTATACAATGAAAAATGTGTTTTGTAATTAAATAAAATATTATTTGCAGATATATAAGTGGCCATTAACTTGGATGCGATGTCTATTTTATGATTTTATTCGTATACTTCCCGTACATTCCCTAGACAAGTGAAACTGCCGTATATTTGTATGCAGATTCATTGAAGGGTAATAGAAGGGTCGTAATAAATCGATATATTGCAAGGGCATACCCTCAATGAATTACGACAAGCTTTTACACATAAACTCAAGAGGTATGAAGGTATTTGAAAAGTGCTGCGAACCTGATGAAATCTTGCAAATGAATTGATTATATCTACATTTAATGTACTTGACCAGCAAAATATTCAACATAGGGTCTAACAAATATATTTTTAGCAATTATATAGTAGAATCTATATAGGTTTGCAGCACTTTTCACAAACTACAAAGAGTGTTGAAAATAATTATAAATTAAACTTAGATTTTTAACTTGGTTATGCCCTTGCAATATTGGAATTTATAGATGACCTCAATACTGCAGGTATATTTGCTAAAATCACGTGACTGCCACATTACGTGACAAATCTAAATAAGAAATATAAACGTCCTCAACATGTAGTTTTCAGCTACATTACATCTGTCCGACAATAGCAATGGCCTAAAAAGAATAGCCCATCCTTGTAAAAAATGTATTTTCTGTCTAAAAAATTCGCCGATATTTCCATTTGGCACCTTAACTGTACTGCGTGACTAAAGAATGTTCCGTTTACCTGATCAATACATAGGACTCACGGGGTGTGTGACCGGTCAACAGAGGATGCTTAGTCCTCCTAGGCACCTGATCTCACCTCTGGAATTTCCGGGGGTCCGTGTTTTATGTCCTGTTCACAGATTTGTATTGTTTGTAGATTTTTTTTTAGATCGATCACTGTCCGTTATTTTCATTAAGGTCGTGACACAAAAAATACGCTAGTCTGATTTAATACCATTTATTAAGGGTTATGGTATAACATAGCCAAGTGACCTTCACTTTGAAATATGAGTCAAAATAAAGAAATATCTGAAAGTCAATAGCAACAAAATTTTGAATTTATGCTAATCAAGGTCTTGATAGTTAAGATTGGTATCTCATTCTCTCTGACCTGGACCTTTCAGGTATATTAACGACCTCATGCATCCTCTGGGAAAAGGAGAGAATAAGTAAGTTTCAGGTATATTGAATGGGACTGAATCTTCCCAACATTGAAATCATTTCATTCAAGGGACCTAGGATTTTGAGTAGATATAATTTCACTAGCTACAGTATCTTTTTGATCAGTACCCTTAGTTAACATTTGATGCATGACTGATTTAAATTATGTTGCATCATTTTGACATGGGTAACAATATATGAAATTTAGAATCTGTTCAAATAAAGGATTGGCGAATTATTACCTTCGTGACGGACATATTAATTATAGACAGAGAGACTGCAACTAGACGGACACTCAAGCCAAACCATTATATCCAGTTGGGGGAAACATAATCTCTGTGAACCTTTGTTAACAAAACGGATGGCTCAACTTTGAAGGAAATGAACCGCTATTAAATATTAATATTGCTTTAAATTAATTCATCTAGTTTTATTTCATCAAAAGGAAGAAGACCCATTGATTCTAGGATGTCTGGAATATACGTTTTCAAATACTTCATCGGAAAAGATTTACAACATTGTTTTGTTGTTGCTCTTGACCTTAATGAAGGTCAAATTTCAAACGCCAAGGTCATAGAGCAATTATATAGTAAAATGATGTTCGAATAGTTACTCTGGAACCTTGATTCGAATGTTTTCAAACTGGAGTTTGTCGTTGCTAATGACAGATGCATGTCACTTTCTTGACCCCTGCTCATAATTCAAAGATCAAAGTCGTTGGTCATTTGGATAACTGAATCGATTTCTGCTATACCTGGAATCCTAATTGCCTGAAACTAAGTATGTTGTATATGTTTCTGATAACCTACAGGTATGTCATGAGAAAGAGTCATGACATCAAGGTTTTTTTTTATAGTTAGGGTTTAATTTTGAAAATTGAGACATCTTTTTATGTGAAAAAGTCTTCTAGATTTTAATTTACTTTTGCAAAGCTGTGCAATGAGTGATTCTAAACTATCTTCAAATTTAAATAATGTTCATAAGTACCGAATGATAAAGGTCATCAAAAAGATCATATTATTTTGTTGTTCTTAAAAGACAGTATTTTTTTTTATCCAATGAAAACCAACAAAATTTCACAGTTTTGTTTGAGAAACCAAAATCTGAGTGCGATGACACATTAAATATTTCCTAGCTACATTATAAAATATTTTCTCAAGTGTCATCATTCGAGTTTGGAGCTGTAGGACTCAATAAATCTCACTCTCGAAAAAAAAGGTTATTTTTAGGTTATTTATAGGATGTAAAGAAATAAAATGACTGATATGATTAGAATGATCAGTAGACATTTGGTTTAATATAAGAACAACAGTATACAAAACACAAAGATGATGAACATTTTTATTACCATTGTTGGAAAAAATAAAACGTACATTATTGATACCATAGTATGACATATAGATAACGATATTTTACGTCACTTGGACAAAGAAAATAAATAAGCAAACATGCAACTTCAAGAATTACTACATTCAAATGCACCAGATATAGAAAATTCAGAACAATTTAATTAATGCAATGCAAAATTGAAATTTAAAAAAACACTTAAATACAAAAAAGAATATTCAAATTTTACGGACACGTGTAAGCGTACGATATCAGCAGACATCCTCATTAGAAGATTTGCTGGCATCGGATTGTTTGCGATTGTCTGTAGGAGCAGAACTTTTGAAATGGACAGACTGTTTTCGAACCAGGTTTGAACCGACAGAGGTTCTACTTGAAACCGATGGTTTCCGGTATAAGCTCGCTTGCCTTAAAGGTCTGCTAAATGTGGATTGTCTCTGAAACTGTGTAATCATCGCCGATAAAGACGAACTTCTTTTAGAATTTGACCTAGTGTTATTCAATGTAGTTCTGGATAACAGCCCCGTTCCTCTTTTTTTAAACAATTCTCTAATTAGCGAAGAGAATCTATCATCTGATAGTCCATATATAAAAGGGTTAGATACGTTATTAAGAAAGACTGTCCAGAAAAATGTGTAATAGATCGTCCCCGTCGTGAATGTGAGATCACACTCTAGATCAGATTTAAGATGCAACACCATGGCGAGAGCATCATGAGTCAGTGTACTTATAACATACACAATAGTTATTATCATGAACGTCACGGTCGACTTTCTGGTTTGGAGGTTTTTGCTACATGACCCAACTGAATCCTTACGGCGACTAGAGAAATACTTGGAATGACTATGCACACTTTTCATGATGAAATAGTACAAAACCGATAGAATTATAGTTACAACAAGAAACATAGATATGAGTACATTATAGTACCACTTAGATAAAGACATGAAGAACTCGTTTTCGGCTCTAAAGCACCTGGTGCCCTCAATTCCATGGATGTTCGTTTTAACTGCTGCATTTCCATAAAACCAAGGCGTGAACCACGTAACGCTCAAAGTCATGAAAACAATCACAGTGCAACTAATTTTCGCTTGTTTCTCTGTAATCTGCTTCTTCAACGGTCTACAAACTTTGCGGAATCTATCTATGGCAATTACAACAAGCATCAGTGGCGAAGCAACTCCACCGAAAAATCCAACGAAGTGCCCAGCTTTACATATAAAGTTAGATGGAAAGTTAATAGGATAATACAAATACAGAATTCCAAATGGCATCACTAGCACACAATTAATAAGATCTAGAAATGCCAGAAACAGGACAAAAACTCGGTAGTTGGAAATCTTGAAGCGGGTAAAGTATACTACGATTACTAACAAGTTACCGATGAGACCAAGAAGCATCTGTAATGATATGAAGTAAATTCCAGGGATGTTTCGGCGGCGAAATTCCACATTGACATCCTCAATTGTTGTAGTATTAGGCCAGGGTAGTTCTCTTAGCCAAACTGGACAGAACAACTCCTCTGGTCGAGCCACGGACACAGGTTGCGATGTTGTATGGGTTTGAGTACACGGTTCAGTCTCTGGGTCTTGGACACCCGGAGCTCTATTGAGGGTATCGTTATAATCCCCGTAATCATAATCCATCGTAAATCTGTTCAAAAGACCCCAATGCTGTATTATTAATCTCTGTTATAGTCACACATTCTTTGAAAAATCACTCGATCGAAATGCTGAGGATCGGAGAACATTGCAAAAAATTGGCATAATAAATGGTACGAATTTTCGTGAAAAGTATTTGCCATTATTTTAAAATAAAGTTAAAAAGGTCAATACCACAATTGTTTCTCATATTCCGACACACTAACATTGTTTCAAAGAGATGTAACTTTTCTTCACAGGCAAATTGCTGCCTCAAGTACTATTCTATTTGCCTCACTGCAGAACCACCTGTTTTGCTGATGGTCTTGGACTTTCTGGCAAACATCACGATCTTAGTACCGGATGAAACATTCGAATGGCTTTTAGATTTTGGATGTTGAGGCCGGATATTTAAGCCATCAAATTGGCTTCAGTCTATGTGAAGGAACACTTTTATACTTTTATCAATGACTGCTGAGCACCTGATCGATTGAAAAGTTATTGGCTGTCCGCGACAAACTGTTAAGTGTGACATTCTCTGAAACATTCTTCCGCTGTCTCGTCTGTTCACTGTATAACGTTTGTCACCATAAGAAACTGGCAATTATGGAAAGGAAAACCACAACTCATCATCGTTAAATAAATATGTAAACAAAAATCCCACCCTGTGGGGAATTTTTATACATTTACGATACAGCAAAGTTTAAATCTTTATTATTAAACAATTTCTCGCTTGGATGGCTTAATGGCACATGTATCAATTTGACATTGTAGAATAAAAATAATTGCTTTTAATGGTGTTGTTTTTCAAATGCTGTCGTCATTCTATCACTAGTGAAAACATATTTCGAAAGTTATCTTCAAGTTAAACAATTTCCTTTCCTATAAAAAATAAATAACTATGAATAAAGTGTATCTGAGATTCGGCAAGGTCAAGGACATCGTCTTCATATGGAGAAGTTTAATATGTGTAGAGCTACAAGTTATTTGTATACGTAAAACTGAAAATAATTTTAACTAAAAATTCAATTTTTAAGTAATACTCGTACAGTAATATTCTACGCTTTTAAGACAATGTAAGTAAGCAAGTGTACCTTTCAATGGAAGTGATCGGCAAGCATAAAATGGAAACTTATATTTCCTATTAAATATCAGGAATACGTTTTCCCCATAAACACATAACTAAAGGAAAGTCGGGAGGTTCACTTTTAAGAAGATACATAAAAAAATATTTTAATTCGTTATAAGGATTTAATTATATTTTTAACGAGCTAGTAAGTCGTTAATGAGTTAGTTATCTAGTTAATGAGTTCGTTAATTTGTTATAACGAATAATTGTCATGAATCTATCCTGCTTTTGTATACAACAAATTAAATTTTTCCCAAAAGAAAAACTATGGGTTACTTTTGATTCAGGTTTAAAAGTGAAAAAAAATCTTCCGCATATGTATACAGAAAACTTATTTGTGCACCTTGTAACATACCTATTTCAAAATAAATGTATTTAGGAAAACCCTTTTATAACATCAATATATTATATGATAAGGCATAGCAAATTAATCTTATCGCGTCATAAGCGCGGATATGGTTCTATTTTATAGATGTCTCCAAAGGAATCAACCGTGACCGTCCGCAGCATTCCCCCAAGTTTTAATATATTTAAAAATAATTTTCTTTAGAATATTATTAATTTCAACTTGTATGTCGATATTCATGCATCACAGAACATGTTGCAAAATAATATAATAATAACAGTAGAATAATATATACATATGTTTGTTAAGAATAACAGTGTTGGAATTTTGAACCAGTTGACTTTCTATAAAACAAAGACTTTATTAGTATTTACTGTCGAAGTGTCCAAACTTGTCACAAGTTGAACTTGCTATATTACCAAGCTTCTTTGGCACATAAAGCCTCCTTTATCATCAATTCATACCTTAATGTAATTACTGTAACCGGTTCAAGCATTGTTTTTATTCTTTGTATGGCTAGAGCATCGAGATCACCAAAACGTAGTTTCTTCAATTTTGCCATCATCAAAACTTTGGTTAATAGGAAGGAAAAATGAACGCGCATGTAATTTCGATTTGATTTTGTTGCAATTTCAGAACAATTATATCAAATTTTTAGAATATCATTTAAAAGATGAGATGATTTCAAATGAAAAATATTTACACTTGTATACTCACGCGTAGAAATATTCACGGAGAAACTCGCGCTAAAATGACGTCACAAGGAAGCTACAGAGACGTTAATAAAAATATGACGATATAGGGCAGCGAGAAATTCAAACATGGTGTATATACATGAAATATGCCTACGTGACAAGTCTGTGTGATTTACACACCGATAACTCACACTAAACTTAAAAACATTCCTTAAATGGCAACAAAAGTATAATTACACACCTAAAGTGTCGATTTCATTACACTATGAGTTATTATCTTGCTTCAAGGAAGGAAATGCTTAAAAGAACATTATTTATGGCACAAATGATGCAATATGCAATAAGTATTGTGTATACTACGCCATATAATTATATAAAATGGTCGATGAATTAAGATCGTTTATTATGCCCCAATCGAACCCCTAGCAAACAAAGTCATCATCCGCATTTTCAACTGAAAATAGCCAATCAATGAATTCGGTTGCAAAATTAAAAAAAATCCACGAATTTGATCATGCAAAATTTCAATTCGTAGAATTTCATTTATGGAAAAGATTGCAAAACAGGACACACCACGAACATCAATATCAAACGTCATTTTTCCTGATGAATGCTTAATGCCCTTCTCTTATTTAGGATTTTCCCATATACTCATATCTCTAAAACTAATTTCTTGAGAAGGAATGCTACACCTTAATCTCCCTCAGTAAAAAGCTTCACGTGAAAAAAGATCACACATCTTTAACTGGTTAACTGGTTAAATAACATTCTTTCTCTATGAAACTACTATATATTTTACTAGATATTTTAATTTAAAAAATTGAAAAAATACAGAATGCAAGATAGTCCATTGAAAATTAATGCGAATTGTATCTTCTACATTGTAATACTGAAATAGATGCATTTCATAAAAACACAAACAACCCCTCACCTCCCCCACGTATATATATATATATATATATATATATATATATATATATATATATATATATATATATATATATATATATATATATATATATATATATAGTTGATATCACGTCATACCATACAGTAAATCTAATCATAAAAGAAAAAAAAATTGAACACTTTCCAAAATTTCGTCTACGGAAGCCTATTTAGGAGTAGGACCAATCAAAAAATATTTTTGAATTCGATATTACGAATTGTCGAATTTGTAAGAACGAATTTAATTTGTTAAAACAATATTTTGAATTCGTTATAACGAATTTCAATTGTTATAACAAATTGTTGAATTCGTTATGAAGAATTCAAAAATTTGTTATAACAGATTAAATTCGTTTAAACGAATTCTAAAATTTGTAATAACGAATTTAATTCTTTAAACAAATTCTAAACTTTGTTATAACAAATTAAAGTTGTTTAATCAAATTCGACAATTGAAGTTTATAGAAAAATATTTGTGAATTTGTTATAACGAATTCAAAAAAATTGTTATAAGAAATTTAATTTGTTATAACGAATTCAAAAATTTTATAACGAACTTAAGTTGTTATAACAATTTTTAGAATCCGTTTGAACGAATTTGATTCGTTATTACAATATTTTGAATTCGTTATAACGAATTTAAGTTATTATATGATTGAATAATTTCCCTCTTTCTGATTGGCTGAGATCCAACAATGTTAGAAAAATACTACGTTATATTGACCTACACGTGACCTTCCAGGTCAATATAAGGAATTATTGCAGGTCAATATAATGAATCACGTGACCTTCCAGGTCAATATAAAGAATTATTGCAGGTCAATATCATGAATTATTCCTGTTCCATTTTTTCATGTTACAATGTGTTCTTGTTGAAATTTCTCGTTAAAACTTTCAATTAATGCAAAAAAAAAAAAAAAAAAAAAAAAAAAAAAACAGTCTTGTAGGAGTTTGCTATCATTTAATCATATAATAAAACAGTTATTGCTGTTTTTTGAGGTCAATACGATAGTTTTGAACATAAATCCATCATAAATTGAACTTTTAAATGTACGAACACCTGAAGATGGATGTATGAAATGTATGTACAACTGAAGATGGATGTAGGTAAATCTAGAAGCGCTAGTGAATTGACATTTGGAGACTGTATTATACATCTGCATGTGCTTAATTACATGACACTTTTACCTTTTGAATACAAAATTAGTTTGCAGAGTTAAATACACTTGGTTTAACATAAAAATGCTCGTAGATGTCATATTTTTTTTTCAAGCAACACATAAGCAACCCCTGCAGCTATCTGTTTCATCTGGATCGCATTCAAAGAGTTTTGTATAAGCAACTTGCTGTGAAGGTTAAATTAAGACTGAGAGCCACGTCCCTATCTGTTAGTGTTATCTGGTTCCCTTAAAAAGCCATAATTCCGTTAAAAATAAATCAAGCGAAACGAAATGAAAAAGATCGGTACAATCACATTGACCAAAAATCAGCTCGTTTAGAAAAAAAAGGAGATGAGAACGAAGTGGGACAGACTTACAGGCAGACAGAGGAATAGATAGAGGGACAGACAGACGAGGAGGAAACCTATAGTCCCCTACGGTTTAATAGGGGACTAATAATTACACCTTCACACCATATAAGATGAATATTATATGCATCAAAAATTATACTAAATATATTCGTCAAAAGTTGGCTTAAATCATCACACATATATGCTTAAAATACTCATTTATCAACTTATCTTTTCCTGGCAATTTTAAAAAATTTCAACCGGTTATAACATCTACAACCTCCTCAATAATTATAGTTCTTGTTCATTAAATACAGTATTCACACAACATCCGTATTTTTAAAAAAGTCAATATTTGTATCATCAAAACAGACACTTAGATTTCTGAATTTGATTTTGATTTGAACTTATTTTATTGTAATAATACATACAAAAGGATTTGATACAAGTTCTTTCAACTTAATAAATCCTTTCCTTGTTATACAAACAATGAATACAATATGATTGTCATAATAAATAAATTGAGATAATTTACGAAAATTTATGTTTTACATGTAATATATATGAAAATTATAAAGACGCATACTCTGAGTAATCTACCAGAGCTCTAATTGCTAGCGCTCTCGAGCGCTAGCAACTACGTTAGTCTATATTTCTGGAATACGCATGCTCGACTTCACGGTCGGGCATTCTGGGAAAACTACTGTAGATAGACTCTGCGATAACAATTTCGTTTTGTCATACAAATATAGATATGATCAGAATTTACACTAGCCTTTCCTGTCTGATATGTGCGATATACATTTCTTACGTTAGAGACAGGCAATACCAGTCTAGATCCGGGTTCTGAATTTTTTTTTATTTATTGTCTAACCTACACATAAAAGTACAAGAAAAACTCAGGTCGTATAATGCCAAGATTCTAGA